AAAAAAAAAAAAAAAAAAAAAGAGAAAGGAAGAAGAAGAAGAAAGAAGAAAGAAGAAGAAGGAGGAGGAGGGGGAGGGGGGGGAGGGGGAGGGGGAGGAGGAGGAGGGGGAGGAGGAAGAGGAAGAAATAGAATAGAAAATGCTGAATGAACAGGCTGGGCACAGTGGGTCATGCCTATAATCCTAGCACTTTGGGAGGCTAAGGCAGGTAGATCATTTGAGGTTAGGAGTTCAAGACTAGCTTGGCCAACATGGTGAAACCCTGTCTCTACTAAAAATACAAAAATTACCCAGGTGTGGTGGTGCATGTCTGTAGTCCCAACTACTAGGGAGGCTGAGGCAGGAGAACTGCGTGCACCAGGGAGATGGAGGCTGCAGTCAGTTGAGATCATGCCAATGCACTCCAGCCTGGGTGACAGAGCGAGACTCCAACTCAAAAAAATAAATAAATAAAATAAAAAATAAATAAATAAATAAAAAATTCTGAATAGACCTGTAAGGAATAAAGAAATTGAACCAGTAATCAAAAAAATTTCCCACAAAAAATGCTGAGGCCTACATGGCTACATGAATTCATGGATGGGATGATGAATCCTAACAAATGTTAAAAAATAACACCAATTTTTCAGAAACTCTTCCCAAAAGCAGAAAAGAAGGAAACACTTCCCAATGCATTCTATGAGGCCAGCATTACCTTGATACCCAAACCAGACAAACACATGAAAAGAAAACCAAAGACCAATATCTCTCATGAATACAGACACAAAATTCTCAATAAAACTTTAGCAAACCAAATCCAGCAACATATACATACAAAGGATTACATGTCATGACCAACTGGGATTTATCCCAGGAATGAAAATGTGTTTCAACATATAAAACTCCACCAGTATAATGTATCATATTAATAATGGAAAAAACCCACATGACCATCTCATTAGGCATAGAAAAAGCATTTGACAAAACCCAACACCCTTTCATCATAAAAAACACTCAACAAACTAGGAACAGAAAGGAACTCCTAGAATTCCTTCTAGAGATGGAAGGGAACTTCAACTTAATAAAGGGAACCTAAGAAAACACAAAGCTCGCATTGTGTGTGTGTGTGGGTGTGTGTGTATACATTATTTTTTTTTTGAGATGGAGTTTTGCTCTTGTTACCCAGGGAGTGGAATGGGCGATCTCAGCTCACCATAACCTCCGCCTCCCAGGTTCAAGTGATTCTCCTGCCTCAGCCTCCCGAGTAGCTGGGATTACTGGCATGCACTGCCACACCCGGCTAATATTGTATTCTGAGTACAGACGGGGTTTCTCCATGTTGGTCAGGCTGGTCTCAAACTCTTGACCTCAGGTGATCCGCCCACCTCAGCCTCCCAAAGTTCTGGGATTATAGGCATGAGCCACCTCGCCCAGCTGCTCACAACATATTTAATGGTAAAAAACTGGATGCCTTTCCCTTAAGATCAGAAACAAGACAAGAATACCCACTCTCACCACTTCTATTCAACACTGTACTAAAAATTCCAACCAGGGCAATCAGGCAAGACAATAAAATAAAATACATCCAGAGAGGAAAGAGGAAGTAAAATTATCTCTATTGGCAGCCCATATTAGCAGCCATGATCTCATCTATGGAAAATGCAAAGGAATCTACAAAAACTTGTTAGACCCAATAAACAAGTTTAGCAAGGTTGCCAGACATAAGATCAATATACAAAAATCTATACTAGCAATGAGCAATCTGAAAATGAAGAAAACAATTACATTTACAATAGTATCAAAAGAAATAAAGAACTTAGAAATAAACTTAACAAAAACAGTATAAAACATATACTCTGAAAGCTACAGAACATTGGTGAAGGAAAGTAAAGAAGATCTAAATAAATGGAAAGAAATCCCATGTTCACAGACTGGAACATTTTCCAAATTGTTCTACTGATTCAACACAATTCCTTTCAAAATTCCATTTTTTTTTTCCCAGAAATTGACAAACTTATTCTAAAATTCACATGGATGTAGGAGGGACTTCATGTAGCCAAAACAATCTTGAAAGAGAAAAAGTTGGAGGACTCATACTTCCTGATTTCAAAATTTACGACAAAGCTAACTAATCAGGACAGTGTGGGATAAGGATAGACACACAGTTCACTGAGAGTGCAGTAGTAACCCCTTATATTTATGATCAACTGATTTTTGACAAGGGTGTTAAGATAAGTTAATGCGGACAGAATAGCCTTTTCGATAAATGGTGCTGGTACAATTGGATATCCACATGTAAAAGAATTCATTTGGATACATATCTTATACCATATACAAAAATTAACTCAAAATGGATGACGCATTTAATGTAAGAGCTAAAGCTATAAAACTGCTGGAAGACAACAGGGGTAAATCTTTGTGACCTTAGATTAGGCAACTAAAAGTAGAAGCAACTGAAGAAAAAATAAACTGGACTTCATCGTAAAAATAAAAATATTTGTCCATCAAAGATCATAGAGAAAGTAAAAGACAATGCACAGAATGGAAGAAAATACTTGCAAATCATATATCTCATAATGGTCTAGTACCCAGAATACATAAAGAACTCATATAAAACTCAACAATAAGGGCTGGGTGCAGTGGCTCATGCCTATAATTCCAGCATTTTGGGAGGCTAAGGCAGGTGGATCACCAAAGGTCAGTAGTTTGAGACCAGCCTGGCCAATATGGTGAAACCCCGTCTCTACCAAAAATACAAAAAAAATTACCTGGGCATGGTAGCACGTGCCGGCAGTCTCAGATACTTGGGAGGCTGAGGCAGGGGAATTGCTTGAACCCAGGAGGTAGAGGTTGTAGTGAGCCAAGATTGCACCATTGTACTCCAGGCTGGGCAACAAGAGCAAAACTTTGTCTCAAAAGAAAAAACAAATTGGATAAAATTTGTTTTTGGTGAGGATGGGAAAAACAACAACTCTTGTGTCTTGCTGGTGGAACATAAAATGGTGTGGCCACTGTGAAAAATACTTTGACATCCTTAAAAAGTTCAACATGGCCAGGCATGGTGGCTCGTGCCTATAATCCCAGCACTTTGAGAGGCTGAGGCAGGCAGATCATGAGGTCAGGCATTTAAGACCAGTCTGACCAATATGGTGAAACCCCGTCTCTACTAAAAATACAAAAATTAGCCAGGTGTGGTGGCACACGCCTGTAGTCCTAGCTACTGGGGAGGCTGAGGCAGGAGAATCACTTGAACCTGGGAGGCAGAGGTTGTAGTGAGTTGAGATCGCCCTACTGTACTCAACTGGACGAGAGGGAGACTTCGTCAAAATATTAATAATAAGTTCAACACAGAATCCCCATATGACCTGCAATTCCACTTACAGGCAGACACGCAATAGAACTGAGAACATACATCCTCCCTAAAGACTTGCACACAAATGCTGACAGCAGCATTATTCACAGTAGCCAATAAGCAGAAACAATCCAAATGTCCATCCACTGGTGAAATGATAAACTGATGTAGCCTATCCGTACAACAGAACCGTTATTTAGTGGAAAAAAGTAATTAAGAACCGATATATCTACAACATGGCTGAACTCTGAAACATGATACAAAGTGAAAGATGTCAGATAAAAAAGGCCACATATTATGTGATCCAATTTATATAAAATGTCTAGAATAGGCAAAGCCATAGAACGAGAAAGTAGATCAGTGGCTGCCATGGGCGGAGGGGCTGGGGGTTCTGTGAGAGCAGGAAGTGACTGCTAATGGGTAGGGGTTTTCTTTTTTTTTGGAGTGATGAAACATTCTGGAATTGGCTAGTCCTAACTGTTGCACACTCTGTGAATATGCTAGAAACCCTGAGCTGCTGGAAAATCAGGCCCTTCTAAGAAAAAGAAAAAATAAAAATAAAAATAAACCCTGAGCTGCATACTGTAGAAGGCTGAATTTTTATGCTACTCAGGTTATAACTTAAAAGGAAGAATATAAAGGGTTAGAAGGAAAAAAAGGAACGTATTGACAGTGATGTGTCAGAGGAGTCCACTTGGGTGAAGGTAACCAGAGAATTTAAGAATAATGAAACTAACGACAAGTGGCTTGCTCTTCATCATCACTGCACCCCAGTAGTGCTGAACAATGGCAGTAAAAAAGGCTCCTCTCTGTAGGGTGGACTGCTCCCTGTATGCCACTGTGAGTATGTCACTGTGTGCAGAGGGAAAAAGGAGCATGCGTTATAATTCATTATGTACAACCTCATGTTTGCACAGTGCTGTATCATTTGCAAAGTGCTGTCAGAGACGTTATCATCCCCATAAACCTGTGGAGGAGGAAGACCCAACAATGAGGACGAGAAGCCTCCCTGTGGCCATGACTGCTAGTGGTGGCCTCCACAGAGCTCTGGAGCCGAATACTGGTTTCAGTAAAGGGTTTCCCACCAGCCACACTCCCCAGGGCTGATGGGGGGGACTGGTGTCCTCATGCCTGAGGCCTCGCCATGCCCAAAACGTGGATAGTTACCCACAAAGGCATTTACCCGACTCTGTCTCTTTCCTGACTCCACTGAAGGTTTCTCTGCCCAAAAAGGAACCATTCCACCCTCCCCACTGCTGTGTCCACATACGGCACCTTCACCTGTTTCCCAGCAGTTACCAAAGGGGCCTAGCAGGAGTCTGGGAAAACAAGTCTCAGAAAACCACAGCCCCTAAAAAAAAAACAAAAAAGGGAAAAAAAAAAAAAAAAAAAAGAATAGAAAACCACAGCCCCTAGTTATGAACTGCAACAGAAATCAATTCAGCATGGGAACCACGTCTGTGGGATCTTCAAGGGTAACTAGATAGTACATTAAAATCAGATTTCTGCTCGTGAGCTGAGTGCTGGAAGAGTCAGGAGAGCACAGACGCTCTCCTGGGATGCACTGTCAGCTGAAACACAGCAGGAGCTGGCCAGGGGTGGGCAGGGCAGGAAATGGAATTTCTTTAACTGGGAGAGGCACTTGGCATTTTCTCCATGATGAGAATCGAAGTGACTTTTACTTTCTTCTTTATACTTTTGGGTACTGATTTATTATCACTATTATTATTATAAAATAGAGGTTCCAATATATATAGACAGATTTAAAAACTAATATTCACTTAGTAAAAAGTCAGAAACAAAATACTTTTATTTTGAAAGAGAAAAAATATGTGTTGATTCCTAATCTGTTCAGCTCTAAACTTCACAAATACCAAATTCCAACTGTGATGTCTGTGAGCAAGAGTGTGGAGACCCTGGGGACATGGCTCCTGGCATTTGCTGGGAAGCCTCTAGAGGCTGTGGGGATCCTTTTTCCCAGTCCCAGCATCCTCACAGTTTCTGTCTTACTGTGGAGTGAGTTCCCACCAGCTAACTTCTGCTTACCTGGACAGGTGGCTCAATCATTATCCAGGCTGGAAGCATGAGACTGGGATTGAGAGGCTGAGTCCCCACACGGAAGTAGACTCCACCCCTGGAATCACAGGCCCAGATGTGCTGATTTCCACATGCCAAGCTTGTCAACTTTACAGCTCCTATAGACAAAGAAAAGTACACACATTGTAATTACCTTTTGTACAATGACTAATCTTTCATCTAATCTATGAACTTTGATTTTCTACTTCAAAGAAAGAAAGAGGCTGCATTTGCAACTGAACTTGGACACTAAGTCATCTGATCTGCCCCAGTCCATCCACATCGGCTATGTGGACGTGGCTGGGCTTGAGAACGTAACTCATCAGAGTTATGACAGCCTTTGGCCACTCTGCCACCTGCCAGATACCACACAGCACCCCTTCCAGGCAACAGGCAAAGCAGTCAAGATGCTGCCAGCACAGTGTCCTGAACCACCAAGCCCTGGGATTAGTATCTCCATGTGGGTCCCATCACCAGCTTCCTCAGACACGTGACTAATGCCAGTAAATTCTGGATCTGGAGAGAGGGAACTCATATTTACAGATAATCTTGATCTTAATTAGAATTCAACTGACTGGGCACAGTGGCACACACCTGTAATCTTAGCATTTCTGGAGGTCATGGGGGGTAGATCGGTTAAAACCAGAAGTTTACGACCAATTTGGGCAGCATAGTGAGACCCTGTTTCTACAAAATACGTACATGAGTTGGGCATGGTGGCACACGCCTGTAGTCCCAGCTACTCAGGAGGCTGAGATCACTTGGCCCCAGGAAGTCGAGGCTGCAGTGAGCCATGATGGTGCCACCGCACTTGAGCCTGGGTGACTGAGGCCTCATCTCAAAAAAAAACAAAAAAAAAACAAAACCAAGTCTCCCAAATAATATTCATTTTTATTTCTTTATTTCTCATTGCTATTGAGACTGATTGTAAGAGGAAAGGAAATGGGAAGTTTTTAGAAAATAGAAATTACATCTGATAATAGTCTGGCTAAAAGAACAGCAGTCAACAGTTCCTGAGTAGCTACTGTGGACAGGCTGTCAGCCATGTCTTCATACACTCACCTCAATCCCCACAACAGTGATGAGTATTGTCCCACTTTACCCATGGGACCACTGGGACTCTGCCGAGGGCCGCATGGCAGGAGGCAGCCAGTCAAGGAGGCAGAGGAGGACCTACGATTTGGACCCGGGTCAGCCTGGCTCCTCTGAATCAGCAACCTCTGACCTCTGAGACTTTCCCTACAACGCAATGCACAGATCTTCAGGGCTAAGTCCAATTCGATGTTTTTGTTTTGTTTTTCAGACAGAGTCTAGTTCTGTCATCTAGGCTGGCATTCAGTGGCGCAATCTCGGCTCACTGCAACCTCCACCTCCTGGGTTCAAACAATTCTCATGCCTCAGCCTCCTAAGTAGCTGGGATTACAGGCATGCGCCACCATGCCCAGCTAATATTTGTATTTTTAGTAGAGACGGGGTTTCACCAGTTGGCCAGGCTGGTCTTGAACTCCTGACCTCAAGTGATCAACCGACTTCAGCCAAAGTGTTGGGATTACAGGTGTAAGCCACCACGCCCACCCCAAAGTTTTGAACAACTTTGTCACCCCAAAAAGTTCCCGCAACTCCCTTCTAGTCAATGCCCTCTACCCTGAGGCAACTGCTGAACTGACTTCTTTTTTGAGACAGAGACTTGCTCTGCTGCCCAGGCTTGAGTGCAGTGGTGTAATCTTGGCTCATTGCAACCTCTGCCTCCTGGGTTTTTTTTTTTTTTTGAGACAGTCTCGCTCTGTTGCCCAGGCTGAAGTGCAGTGGTATGATCTCTGCTCACGGCGGTCTCAGCCTCCCGGCTTCAAGCAATTCTCCTGCCTCAGCTTCCGAGTAGCTGGGATTACAGGCACCTGCCACCACGCCCAGCTAATTTTTACATTTTTATTAGAGATGGGGTTTCACCATGTTGGCCAGGCTAGTCTCCTGACCTCAGGTGATCCACCCGCCTCGGCCTCTCAAAGTGCTGGGATTATGGGCGTGAGCTGCCGTGCCCAGCCTGTTGAACTGACTTCTATCCCACAGGTGAGTTCAGTCTATTTTAGAGGTTCCCAGAGCAGAATCACAGCATACACGCTCTGGCGTCGGGCTTCCTTCACGCAGCGCCATGCAGGGAAGTGTTACCACGGTGCCACTCCTCTTCATTGCCACACATGACTTCACTGCACACACAACAAGGCAAGGTTCTCCATTCACCTGCTGATGAACTATGCACTATTAGCAGCAACATGGCCATAATCACTCTCGTGGGAGGCTTTTTCTTTTTTGAACATGTGTTGATTTCCTTGAATAAATGCCTGGAAGTAGACTTGCTAGCTGTAGGATAGGTGCCTGTTTCACTTTTTTTTTTTTTTTTTTTTTTTTGAGACAGAGTCTCACTTTGACACCCTGGATGGAGTATACTGGCACAATCTTGGCTCACTGTAACCTCCACCTCCCACATTCAAGTGATTCTCATGCTTTAGCCTCCCAAGTAGCTGGGATTAAAGGCACCCGCCACCACAGCTGGCTTTTATTTTTTTTTAGCAGAGACAGGGTTTTGCCTTGTTGACTAGGCTGGTCTTGAACTCCTGACCTTAGGTGACCCACCCGCCTCAGCTTCCCAAAGTGCTGGGATTACAGGTGTGATCCACTGTGCCCAGCCTGTTTCACTTGTAAAGAAACCACCAGTTTCTGGAATGGCTGTCCTATGCTCACGCCCACAGCCCTGTCTGTGAGTTCTGGCTACCTGCACCGTTGAACCTTTTCCATGACCGCCATTCTAGGAGGGAGGTTGTATCCTGTGGTGGCTTTAATTTGCCTTTCCCTGCTAAGGAATGACGCTGGGAATCTTTTAATATGCTATGGGCATCTGCATATCTTCTTTTGTGAATGCATGTTCAAGTCTTTTGCTCATTTAAAAATGGACTGTCTCCTGACTGCTGAGTTACGGGAGTTCTCTGTATGTCGCAGGCACCAACCTTGTTTCAGATATGTGCGTTGTGAATCTGTGGTTTGCTTTATTTTCTTAATAGTGTTTTTTGATAAGCAGTTTTTATCTTTGATGGGTTATTTTGACTTTCAACCATGGAATAATAGGTGTACAGCTCCATTAGCTGGTGGTGCTACCGGAGGAGGGCAGGCGGAGGGCGCCCCACACTGGCTGCAGAACCAGGAGGTGCTGCCCCTGCACAGCTGTCACTGGTATCAGATGACAGCCCACAGAGTGCGGCAAAACACAGAGCCACGACTGCCACGTGAACATCTCGTCATGTGCCTGCAGTTACAACATCAACCTAAAACTATTAATTCACTGCTATAAAAAATTATCATTATTCCTTTGTGTATTTTCTAAAGATGACAATTTCTCTATTCCAAGAATTAACTGTATTTACTCCTTCCTTGATCTTGTACAGAATATTTTACTAGGGAGTTTAAAAGAACTCCCTGGAACTCTAATATTACATATGCAAAGATCTGTACCAGTCAAAATAAAGTATCTTCAGCAGCAACTCTAGAAATAGCTAAGAAACAAATGCTAATTAAGAAAGAATTTTGGCTGGGCGTGGTGGCTCAAGCCTGTAATCCCAGCACTTTGGGAGGCCGAGGCGGGTGGATCACAAGGTCAACAGATCGAGACCATCCTGGTCAACATGGTGAAACCCCGTCTCTACTAAAAATACAAAAATCAGCTGGGCATGGTGGCGCGTGCCTGTAATCCCAGCTACTTAGGAGGCTGAGGCAGGAGAATTGCCTGAACCCAGGAGGCGGAGGTTGCGGTGAGCCGAGATCGTGCCATTGCACTCCAGCCTGGGTAACAAGAGCGAAACTCCGTCTCAAAAAAAAAAAAAAAAAAAAAAAAAAAACCTGGCCCTAAGAAGAACCACAGGCAGCAGCGATCATGCTAACAGAGTCACGTGGTGACAAAAACATACCGGGCCAGCATCTCAGGGTTGGCAGCAACAACACTGCTGACAGAACACAGAGCTCACATGACACAGTCAACATCCTTTCAGAACATATAGAAAGGACTGCTAGACGATGTGCTCCAGTGTATAAACCAGCTTCTTCCAAACTGAAGAGACAGGTTAAAGATGACAAAGTTGAACTGAGGGCTTTCCTGCCTCAGAGTCTCACCCGGGCCACCTGGACGAATGAGTTGTGAGCCTGTTCCACAGAAGACGTGGTCCGGATGTGGTGAACGTGGTACAGAGACCACTGCCCTCCCCAAACACTCCATGGCTCCCTCACATTCCCTTAGAGTTAGGCAGGATCCCAAAACCAGTTCTGGCAACGGGCTCTGAGCAGAAGGAACCAAGATGGTGGAGCCGCACAGCAAAGCAGGTGGGATCAGGCAGCCACCGCCTGGAGGACCACTGCCCTGGAAGAAGGCAGATGCAGGGCCAGCTTCGCCGGAGCGGGGCCACAGTTCACTGTGTGAAGTTGCTGACATCTGGGGCTTGCTTCTGAAGCACAGTTCAGCCTGGCTGATGCAAACACACTGACATTTTCCTGCCTGTCCCTGTTTTGTCCTTATTTTTTCTTCTGTTTTAAAAAAAATGCTTTAATTACTTTATGCGACAAAGCAGATCTTTTCCCCTTAGGATTATTTCTTAAACATATTATTTTAAAACAAAAAGTGGCATTTATTTGATGCTTTACTATTCATAAAATACTTTTCTACATAAATTACTGAATAATGTAATCTTGTTTGTTACCTAACAGCATAAACTGACACTGAATAGTTCTTCGTTAAATGCTGTGACCTGATAAATTAAATTACAAATTTCATTAGTTTGCAAAACATTCCCATGCCTGACATAATGCATATTTATGTGTATGGGGAAATGAAATGTTATAAGCATCTTAAATATCTGCTAAGTGATGCAAATGTTCTTCCAAAAACTAGGATTATAATAAATCACTACAAAATTCCATATGTGATCTCTACAACTGGGTTAGGAGCTGACCATTTAAGAATTCCTTTAATTTAATCCCATAGCAGCAGTTGCTCTGGTAATTTGTATAGGGGCAGAAAGAAGCAGGATGCTGTATCTTTAAAAAAAATTAAAGGTTTGCTTATAGCCACTACCGGAGA